TATTCTATTCTATTCTATTCTATTCTATTCTATTCTATTCTATTCTACCCTACCCTACCCTACCCTACCCTACCCTACCCTACCCTATCTATTCTATTCTATATTGGCACCACTGTCTTAAGTGTGCCCACCCCCCAATCAAGGTTGGTGTCAGTGCCCTCTGGGAAACTTTAGGAGCCATGAAATGGTTACCAAAAGATTACATGAAGACTGTTCAGGGAATCCTGGACTTACGACCATTCACTTAGCGACCGTTCAGAGTTACAGTGGCCCTGAAAAAAGTGACATGACCAGTCTTTGCAGTTACGACCATTTCAGCAATCCCCAGGGTCAGGTGATCAAATTTTTGTACCCTTGGCTCTTGGCATGTGGTTCTAGTGGTGGCAGCGTTCCCGAGATCACATGATTGCCATTTGCAACCTTCCCAGCTGGTTTCCAACCAGCCAAGTCAATGGGGAAAGCTGGATCCGCTTAACAACCATGTGACTAACAGCCAGGTCACTAAGAACCATGAGTTCCCCATGTCTGTGGTGATCTCCTTAGCAGTCATCTCAAGAAGAAGTTCATAAAATCAGGCATGACTCATTTAACAACTGCCTTGCTTAACAGTGGAAATTCTGATCCTAATTGTCTGTAGAGATTCTCAGTCATCCAAATCATGGTTGTCCCAAAGGCGCTTTTTCAGAGGGCAACTGGACTTTCTTGTTTTTTTTTTTTTTTCGACGACATTTCACTTCTCATCCAAGAAGCTTCTTCAGCTCTGACCAGATGATGGGGAATGGGAGGACTTATTTTCCTTGCAGACAGCTGGTCCTTTGCATCCTTTTAGAGAGCCGTTGAGGCCACTTGGAGGTTTGTCTATGTCCTCAGGATCACCCGAGTGGTGCTAATGGTTCCTGTAAGTCTGCAATTTTTCTGGAAACCCATTCCTTCTCCCACACCATTCCAAGGGCATTCATCCCAAATTGCATAGTCTATAAAACTCCATAGAGGTTCTCAGTCATCCAGGCCATGGTTGTCCCAAAGGTGCTTTTTTCAGGAGGCAACTGGACTTCCTTGGGCTTCAGCGAGACTCTAAAAGGATGCCAATGACCAGCTGTCTGCCAGGAATATAAATCCTTCCCTTCCCCACCATCCAGTCAGGACTTGAAGAAGCTTCTTGAATGAGAAGTGAAATGTCTTCAAAAGTAAAAAACAAGAAAGTCCTGAAAAAGCATCTTTGGGTCTGGTCCTAATTGTGGTCATAAATCGAGGACTACCTGTAGATTGACAGACTCTAGAGGACTACCTTTGAATTAGATAAGGCCAAGACAATCCGACCTTGTCTAGGATTGCAGTCTATGATAATCGCCTTTTGTGAAGTGCGTAGAATGACTTTGTGGAAATGTTGGTCCTTTCTCTGGTACTTCAGTAAATATTTTCCCACTTTCCCACCCCCCTGCTTTTTAATTCTCATTTCAGCAAGAGAATGGGATCTTGGAGAGCCCTACAGGCACCGGGAAGACATTATGCCTCCTGTGCTCGACCTTGGCATGGCGAGCGCACTTCAAGGATGCCGTTTCTGCGCAAAAGATTGCCCAGCGATTAAAAGGGGCAGAACTGTTTCCCGACCAGCCGTTGTCGTCTTGGGGCAGTGCTGTCACGGGGACCGAGGTTCCAGGTATTTCCTATTCATTTGGCAGCCCTTGTTATATTTGCAATGAGGTTTTGACAATAGAGCAGATATAAGGATCAGTGTCTGGGTTCCAGATCCATAGCCAGCAAAACTCTGACGCAGGTAGATTCCTAAAAGGGTAGCTTCATTGGAAATACCATATTGGTGCATATCCGGTGAAAGCCGACTCTAAAAGGTTCCCATGGTTTTCACCTAGTTACAAGAGAAAGTTTTCCCACAACTCCAAACAATCAGTCACATGGTCCAATCAAGATGCTGTCTGGTGGTCTGGTGACCTCACTCCTCCTTCCATGGTCCAGGTGTGAGAGTGTCCTTGGTTCTCAAGAGAAAGTATTTTGTTTTGGCTACACAAACCCCTCCATCTCTAATCCCCTCTCCCTTTCCCTCAATTCCAGTGCGGCAACACTGAAGCTGTAATATGGCTCCGGTCAGGTCAGCTTCAGGGTTGACAATAAGAACAGAAGGGACCTTGTAAGGTCATCTAATACAACTCTCCCCCCCCCCCCCCCCAAGCAGGAGACCCTATACCAGATGGCAGTCCAGTCTCTTCTTGAAAGCTTCCAGTGATGAAGTTCCCACAATTTCTGAAGGCAAGCTGATAATAGGTTTATTAGATACAGGTAGTATCTAATATCTGATAATACAACAGCCCTGCAGAAAGTGACTTACAACCAGTCCCCATGCTTACAATCTTTGCAGTATATCCCCAGGGTCACATGATCAAAATTTGGGGGCTTGGCTATCGGCATGTAGTTACGACAGTCACAGCATCCCGGTGTCATGTGATCCCCATTTCTGAACCTTCTCAGTTGGCTTCCAACAAGCAAAGTGAACGGGGGGAAGTCATTCGCTTAATGACCGTCGTCGTGTCCACGGTTACCTGATTCCATTTGCAATTTTCCCAGCCAGCTTCTGACAAGCAAAGTCAACGCGGAGAAACTGGATTCGTTTAACCACCTCGTGATTCACTTAATATCTGCAGGGCTTTGCTTAACATCTGTGGCCAAATTGCATAATGGGTGCAATTCACTAAATAAATTGCTTTGCTTAGCCACTGAAATCCTGGTCCCAATGACGGTCATAAGTTGGGGACTACCTGTAACGCTGCCACCTTTTCCTCTTGCAGTACTTCAGAATGTTGAAAGTTTAGGGCAGGGGTGTCCAGCCTTGGTAACGTTAAGCCTGGAGGACTTCAACTCCCAGAATTCCCCAGCCAGCTGGCTGGGGAATTCTGGGAGTTGAAGTCCTCCAGGCTTAACGTTACCAAGGTTGGACACCCTGGTTTAGGGAACACGGAAGATGAAACAAGGTGAACCAATAAAAATATCACGACATACCTTGAGATCCTTTTCAGAACGAAAGCAGAAACTGGTTATAAGAAAAGCTTGAGAGAATCCTGTCTGCCACATCCCAAAGGTATCCTTTCAAAGGGCAACTGGATTTTGTTTTTCCTTGAAAACGTTTCGCTTCTCACTCAAACTTTTTCAGTTCTGGCTGAATGCTGGAAAACGGAAGGATTTATATCTCTTGTGGACATCCGGCTGTTAGCCCTCTCTCCGAAAGTCCTTGAGGCCACTTGGAAGTTTATCTGTGTCCTCGGGGCCCACCTGAATTGTGCAAATGGGCGTGGAGCCTTTTTGGAACTGCGGAAAGGACTCGTGGACAGGAGATAGTTGGTGTCATGTCCCTCCCCACCACTCCACCACCCCGAGAGAGGTCTGTTCAGTATTAACATATGGTAGATGGCCCCTTTGACCCCTCTTTCAAACCATTGGTCCTCTCTCTCTCCAGAATATGGACTTTGCTGTCTTCAAATCTGTGATATGCTGCCGGTTCGTACTGGTTCTAGTGATCCGGTAGTGCCAATCAGCAGTTGGCGCCACCCACCCACCCCTGTCCTTTCCTGTCCTATATTTCCTTTGCTTGCAGCTCAGCTGATGGGCGTGGCAGAGTACATTGCCACCATCCTCAGCTGTTCTACTCATCAGCGCTGACAGTAAGGTAAGTTTTTGTTAGGGATATACATCCTAGCAGAACCTGCACGGAAGTCAGGCAGGCAGGCAAATATGTGAGACAAACGTTTTTGTAGCTTACACTCAGTAAAACAGATACACAGTGCTAGTTAAATAGTTTATTCCAGTAAGATTTATAGCATAGTCAAACAGTCCATATATCATACACTAGTTCAATCCGTCCGGGGATTAATCAGTTGCAAAGTCCAGTGTCGAAAAAGAGGTCAGTAAACTTACAAATATCAGTCCTGTAATATATCTCTTTGCAGTTAGAGATATGAAGAAGTCAAACCTCCTTTCTTCTTTCAGCAACAGCAGAGAACACGCAGTTAACAATCCATCATTGTCAGCAAGCAATTCAGTAAGCCAGCAATACAGTAAGCTAGCAGGTTCTCTTGCTCCCTCTTATGGCAGTTTTACAGCCGCACCCAAAATTACATGCTTTGCAGTTAAAGTGACACACACTTAAAGTCACTATTATAGTCTATATATATTATTTTACCCAAACTACGTTAGGTAACCTATGTTATTCCTAACAGTTTTCATGCCTAAAATTGCCCATTTTAGAAGGCTCCAAGCGTGCGCAAACCGCACACCCACAGAACCAGTAGTAAAATATTTGAATTCCACCACTGCTTCAAATGTTCATTGCTTTTGAGTTATGTGTGCTAATGTGACCAGATGACTGCAGGGAATATAAATCCTTCCATTCTACCATCCTTCAGTCAGAACTGAAGAATCTTCTTGGATGAGTAACAAAACACCTTCAAGGAAAAAAAATAAGAAAGTCCAGTTGCTTTTTGGAAAAGCACCTTTGGGACAACCATGACCTGGATGACGGAGAATCTCCATAGACATCTGTCTGCGGTATGTTTAGTTGTCTGCAGAGAACTTTAAACAATGCAAACCAGTGCATCCATTTTCACTGCCATTTGCAGATATTCCCCCACAAGTGCTTCAAAGCAAATCTCCTTTTTGAAGATAGTAAAAAAAAATATGCAGTCTTCTCTGTTAGGTGGGCAGTTGGGCTGTAAATTCCCAGACTTATGTCCACAGGCTAAATTGTTACCATAGCACCAGCGAGGAAAAGCAGGCTGATGATATATTTAGTTACTAAACACAAACTAAACATTTTTCCCCCCTCTTCTTTCTCCCTCCTGCGCACGTTTCCTTTCTCACTTTCTCCACATGACAGCTTATTACACTGATGTCCCTAAAATAATTTATGCCTCCAGAACACATTCTCAGCTTGCTCAGGTCATCGGTGAATTGAAGAATACTGCTTACAGGTAAAGAGCAAAATTTTAACTTCAAGTGTGAAAAGTGCCTGGGGTTTATAGTTGCCTCACCTTATTTATTTCAGAAGCGTTCTTGTTCATTGCAGCGAACTGAAAAAGCTGCCTTGCCCTGCAGCCACAGTAATGGCGCACTCCCGAATAAAAAGCAATGCCCCTCCTGGATCAGACCAAAAGGATGATGCTTGTCCAGCATTCTGATCAGCAGGGGCAGATCAGATTCTTTCTTGGAAGCCAACGAGCGGAACCTAAATGCAATATTACTTTTATCTCAACCGCTGTTTGGAGGCTATTGCAAATGATAATGGGGATCGTAAATAGCCGAGACGACCGTTAGCCATCGGTGATTTATCCAGCTGAGCTTATTTTGTCTCTTTTTAAAAGCAGTCCAAGTTGCCATCCATCACTTCCGTCTCGCAGTGCATTTAATGGCAGTTTATTGATGTCTGGTTGAAGAAGTATTTTCTTTTTTTTTTACCTGTGAGGATTTATATCATTCAGCTGAGCTTAAGGGTAACAGAATAACAGTCAGAGGTCTCGAAGTTTTGATTAACAGATTAACAGAGTTGGAAGGGACCTTGTAGGTTATCTAGTCCAACCCCCTGCCCAAGCAGGAGACCCTACACCATTTCTGACAGATGGGAGTCCCGTTTCTTCTGGAAAGCTTCCCGTGATGAAGCTCCCACAACTTCCGAAGGCAACTTCTGTTCCATTTGGTTGATTGCTCTCGTTGTCAGAAATTTCTCCTTATTTCCGGGTTGAATCTTCTAGACAAACCCCCATTTCAGACAAACGGCTGTCCAATCTCTTCTTAAAACCTCCAGTGTTGGAGCATTCGCCCGTTTCTGAAGTTCTGTTCAATTGATTAATTCTTTTCCTCTGTCAGGAACTTTCTCCTTAGTTCTAGGTTAGATTTCACCTTGATTAATTTCCACCCGTTGCTTCCTGTCCTGCCTTCTGGTGCTTTGGAGAATGGGGTTGACTGCCTCTTCTTTGGGGCAGCCCCTGAGATATTGGAACACTATTATCATGTCACTCTGTTAGTTAGATGGCCATTTATCTTGCTTATCCTGCCCCCATTTTACTTTCCTGGGTTGTTGTTTTTTACACTAAAATATAAAACGTGCCACTGTTGTTTTTTTTTCTTGATCTGTATTTTGACATTACATGGAAATGCTGTGGATCTTTTGCTGTTCTTGTTGTTAAAACAGACCCAAAGTTTGTGTGTTGGGATCCAGAGACCAGCTTTGCATCCACCCTGAAGTTAAAAAGCAGGAAAACAATCATATGCAGGTAAAAATTATACGTGTGAAATGACGCCGACCCAGGATTATTCTGTTACTCTTATGATGGACAGGAAATGCAGCCTCCCTATAACAAAATTTAATTTTATGTGTTTTTCTAAGTCCAGTTCAAAGCACTATTTTGCCCCATCACCTCTGCAGGAACCCTGCCTTTCAATACTGTATATCACTATCTTTTATACTGGGCCATGGTGGCGCAGTGGTTAGAATGCAGTACTGCGGACTAATTCTGCCAACTGCCAGCGGTTTGATTCTCACCCCCTCAAGATTGACTCAGCCTTCCATCCTTCTGAGGTCGGTAAAATGAGGACCCAGATTGTTATGGGCTATAGGCTGACTCTGGAAACCGCCCAGAGGGGACTGTAAAGCACTATGAAGCGATATATAAGTCTAAGTGCTATTGCTATCTCCTTAAGAGGGCTTTCGATGAGTAACGTGATGGCCTAGTGCCGAAGACCTTTGCCTCCCACTCAGAAGGTTGAGAGTTCAAGCAGAAGAGGTTTCTCTCCTGAGGTGCCAAGAAAAAAATAAATCTGCTGTGAACTCTGCGTAGGCGTCAGGAAGGGCAGCCAGCCAGTAAACGCTCAGCTCAATCTAGTCGCCCCAACTCTACCCCGAATTAAGGGATTACGGGGTCGTAAAAAGAGAGTAGGGGGCCTCCTATCAAAGCAGGGGTGCCCAACCTCGGCTACTTGTCTGTGGACTTCACAACTCCCAGAATTCCCCAGCCAGCCATGTAAGGATAACACGTTCCCTATCTCGGAGCTAAGCAGACAAATCTCCTCTGCAGGGAATTGCTGCTTATATTGCTAGCACGGGGCACTAAATGAACCTATTTTAGCTCCCTTGATGCACTGAACTGGATTTTAATTGATTTGCAGATCCACTTGTGTCGTATGAAAGTGTCAAGTCGCTCATGTCACTTCTATAACAACCTGGAAGGTAAGGAATGTGGCTCTTGGCTGAGGTTGAATAAGGCTTTTATTGATGCGGGGAGTCGCACTTACATGTTACAGGTCTGCTGCGTTTGCCAGGCAATCTACGCTGTGATTGGTTGCTGTGGGTGTGGAGGGGGAAGTTCCCTTTTCCCCCCCGCCTTTTTCTTCGGTGTGCTCTATGCATTTACCTCACGATGCTCCTGTTTCCCTGACTATCTTGTTTGCTGTACAGATAGATAGATGATTGATCGATTGGGATGGATGGATGGACAGACAGATGATAGACATGGGCGGGCTGTTGATAGACATGGATGAATGGATGGATGGATAGGGATGGATAGACAGACAGACAGATAGGCATGGATGGATGGACAGATAGACCAATAGAAAGACAATATGATAGATATGGATGGATGGATGGATGGATGGATGGATGGATGGAT